CGGAAGGCTTTCACACTGCGCCTGAGGTTTAAGCTATAAGGTTTGAAATGCTTCACTTTGTTTAAGGCTTAAAAGGTTTTATCACTGTGCCTCGGCTATAGATTGCCAGAAAGATTGCCAGAAAACTCCCTTAACCACAAGATGGAAACGTATCACAAATTGAAATACAATGTCAGGTTAGAGAGATGTGTATGTATATACGAAGTGATAATGCAGTGATTTAATACAAATGTATGTGTAGATTACCCTCTTTTTGCAGAGACATAATCAAAACATTAGACCATAACTTATAAGCTGTGCTTTTATATAAAGAATGATGTTCGTATCCTCACTGAGCCATGAATCTGTAAGTACATGAGTTCTGATATCCCTATTTTGGATATGCTGCGATGTTACAAGTGATGAAGACTCCCCACATCTAGTAGGCAGGAAAATAAAGCTGTAAGCCAAGTGTTTCTTACCCTATTAAAGTCTGTGAACTTCACTTTGTCGTCGAGGACTTTTCCCACGCATTTTCGGACGGGAAAAGACTGGTCGAAGTATATCCTGTTAGCCGAGTTGATGATGTAGTTCTGGTTTGCTTCTTGGGAGCCTTAACTGCAGTTGTGTTAGTTATTTTAGTAGAAATTATTATCTGATAATGTTATTACTTGCATTATAAAATCATGATCCTTTTTATCATCAAGGTTTTATTCATGTCCATCTCTCTCTCTCTCTCTCTCTCTCTCTCTCTCTCTCTCTCTCTCTCTCATATATATATATATATATATATATATATATATATATATATACACATGTGTATATATACACAGGTATATTCATTTATATACATATATATGAAAATGAAGAAAGCAATAATATGAAATGATTTTTTTTTGTTCTTCATAATTTTTGTGTACACGTTTCTGTGTTTGTGTTCACACGCACACACACACACACACACACACACACACACACACACACACACACACACATATATATATATATATATATATATATATATATCCATCTACCTACCACCTCTCTTAACGGTTCACTCGGTAGGTTTAGTCGCGTCAACCCACTCACCGCCGTTCGAGGGCCCTGAACAGGGCGAGCGTGTCCTCTTTGTCGGTGAGCCGCAGAACTCGCTCCGGCTCCGCGCGGCTCACGCCCGCCCATGTGCGAGAAGTTGCAATTGTGAGAGAGAGAGAGAGTGAGTGTGTGTGTGAGAAAGTTGTGTATGTGAGAGAGAGAGAGAGAGTGAGTGTGTGTGAGAGTAAGTGTGTGTCTGTGTGAGAGAGATAGAGATAGATAGAGATTGAGTGACTGAGTGACAGTGAATGGCAGAGAGAGAGAGCGAAACATGGTTTATAATTTCAAATCACGTTTCTCGCTGCATTTGCTGTTATGGCAGATAGCATCATTGCAATGTAAACGTGACCCAAATTTGCAGTATTCGTTCCCCGTTTTAATTACAATTAAAGTAACGCTGTGTTTTGGTTTTGAGAACATCAATTATTCCGTGATTTTACTTCAGTCTCAGTCATTGCAAAATCAAGGGTATGTGCTGGCATGTTATATGTTTATTCTACAATGCATGACTTGTTCCCATTGCAGTCCAAACACGAAAACAATAATACATATATTTGGCAGAATGTTGTCTTATGTGCTTATTAGCAGACTTTTGCATATTATTTATATTATGATTATACGAACTGGCAAGACCACACAAATGCAGAGATTTAGACACAATCAACAGACGAAATGTCGGCTCTCGCGGTCTCTCTGCGATGTATATAATCGTGAGTCCCAGCCGCCTCTCAGTAGTAGGTGAAAGTGCGTTGCGTGAGGAAGACTTCTCGCGCTCGTCCGTCACTTAAGGTCGCTGTGTTGGTGTTGGTGTCGAGATTCTCCTGGTGAGAACTGTGTACCGTTTTATTATTTATTTATTTGTTTATTATTATTATTATTATTTTGTGTATAATTTGTATGCTGATATATATTATCGGCCCGGTTGTTAAAATTGTTCGAAGCCCGACCTTATTATTCATAATACGGATATATATATATAGACATAAATGCATATCTGTTGGATAGATAGATATATAAATGTATATCTATCAGATAGATAGAGAAATGTGCATTTATTTACATGTTTTTATGTAATATTCATTGGATCAGGCCTCGCTCAATTTTAACCGGACATAAGTAACGTGTATCACACAAAATTTCAAGATATGATAACATAATGAAAGTGGTCAACATATGAGCATAACACTAACCATTCATTGACAGTAAGTATAAGACACCCTGTACGATTAGACTTGTTCTTTTATATGATGATGTTAAAAATTCTGAACATGGGAATGAAATTATCCCCAAAACATGTATCGCTTTGTGATCAAATTCAAGTACAGGCTTTTAAGTGTAGTGTGTTAATTATATCTTAGTTTTGTAACAAATATACACTTACACAGAGGGACGTGGCACCAAACATAGAGCATAAAAGACAATAAACTACGGTTTGTGTAAGTTCAGTGTATCATTATTATGTGCTTGATGGAATTATGAATAAACCAGATGTAGAGGGGTAGTAAAATATTCACAGGAAAAGCCTCGCTAACTCAGTAATCTCTAGCTTGTTAAAGTCTCACCACAGACCATCTTTGGTGTTTTCTGTTTTATATGAATATTCAGATTTCGTAAGGAGTTTATGGTACTGCAAATCGCATATGGTAACTGTTGACTGCTGATGTGTTGAGGTGACTGAAAGATATTGCGCCGTTCTTCTCAGCATTTTGCCTCCCACCTCATAAGGTCTATTTGCAATCTAGTTAGGCGAACATGCAATATCGGTTATATGTTTCCTGTACAACCCATGATTTTGTGTATACTGCAACCCGTGTCTGAGTCGCTTGTTTCTAAACCGTGTTCATTGCGGCAAAATAATAAGACCAGATATCTTAATAGTGCTAATGTATCTGGCTCGCTTTTGTCTATAGTTAGAAATACATAATATTTTGACTAAAATATATATATATATGTGTGTTTCTATATTCAAATACCAGTGTGTGCGTGACCTTTCAGAACCATGAGAGTGTGCGTGCTGCTCCCCGCCCTCGCCCTCCTGTCGCGGGCCAGCTGTCAGTGCCTCTCCTCCTCTGACACCTCGCCGCCCCCGCGGCTCCCGATTCTCAAGCAGTCGACTCCCTTCAGCCTCGACTTCTTCCAGAAAGCTCTCCCTCCGTCGGGGAACTTCTTCATCTCGCCCTTCAGCGTCTGGAGCGCCCTCGTCCTCGCCTACTTCGGCTCCCGCGGCAAGACGCAGGCGGAGCTGGAGCAGGTTCTGCGGCTCACCAACAGGGAGGACACGCTCGCCCTTCAGGGCCCTCGAACGGCGGTGAGTGGGTTGACGCGATTAAACCTACCGAGTGAACCGTTAAGAGAGGGTAGGTATGGATATGTGTACACAATGTGTACACAAAAATGAAAACAGCGACAAAAAGATATATTCGTTTCATATTGTTGCTTTATTCATTTTCATATATGTGCACACACACACACACATATGTGCGTGTGTGTGTGTATATGTGTGTGTATGTGTGTGCGTGTGTGTGTATAAAGAGAGAAAACATTATCAAGTAATAATTTCTGCTAAAATAACTAACACGATTGCAGTTATGGCTCCCAAGAAGCAAACCAGAACTACACCATCAACTCGGCTAACAGGATATACATCGACCAGTCCATTCCCGTCCGAGAATGCGTGGGAAATGTCCTCGACGACCAAGTGAAGTTAATAGACTTTAAAAGGTAAGAAACACTTGGCTTAATTCTTATTTTCCTGCCTAACAGAAATGGGGAGACTTCATCACTGGTAATATCGCTGCATATCCAAAACTGGGATATCAGAACTCATGTAGTTACAGTTTCAAGGCTAAGTGAGGATACGAACATGTCTTTATATAAAAGCACAGAATGTAAGGAGGGTTATCTACATATCAATTTGTATTAGATTACTGCATAATGTATATACAGACAAATCTCTGTAACCTGGCATTATATTTAAATTTATGAAACATTTCCATCGAGTGGTTATGGGAATTCTCTGAGAATCCTGGCTCTCTGTCCTTTAGTACGAGAAGACAGAAATATGAGCCGAGTCACAGATAAAACCCTCTAAGCCTTAAACGAAGTGAATCATTTCAAACCTTAGATATAGTTTAAACCTCGGGCACAATGACAAAGCCTTTAAGCTCCATACAGGAGGGCAGATCTTTTTAGCAGATTTACTTTCATCTTGAGTAACAGAAAAGCCTTCTGTGATTATTTAATGTATGCAAAATTAACCAGATTCTTTTGTGCCTAAGCCATGATTTTAAAAATCTTATATGCATCTCTTTCAATCTTAGAAAAAAAAATCAAGTTTTTAACACAGATACATTTCTATAAAAGTTCTCTAAACTCCAGAGTCCGAAATAATCAAACCTGAATCTGCCATCAGCCCGACGCCGCCGCTGCTGACATCAATGCCTTCATCAACGCCGAAACGCGAGGAAAAATACCAAAGCTTATAGAACCCTCCTCTCTTGAAAACGCTAAAATGTTCTTAACTAACGCCGTCTACTTCAAAGGCTTTTGGAAATACCCGTTCAAGCCTCAAAGGACCCACAAGGACAAGTTTTTCGTAACCCCGGAAGAGTCTGTCCAAGTGGATATGATGTCGCAAACGAAAAGGTTCAAATATGGTAATGTATGGGAGTTCTTCTTTTATACAAAATGAACCTCCCTACCTTTCCTTGTGTCCAGTTTCCGTTGTTACATTTATTTTTCCATTTACTTTGCGTTTGTATCGATTTGTCGCAAATCAAAATCAATTTTGTGTACATTAGGTGTCTCTCTTTATGGCAACATGTACATAATTCAACACAGAACAAGTTACCTTACAATGTAAGGAAATCGTAAAAAGAATCACCTGTTATTATCACGAACTTCATATATGTCCAACTCCGTTCCAG